GACAAGGTTCTTTGGGTGAATCTGATATCTTTTATTAGACCAACTTAAATAGTTGGAAAACAATTATTAAGCAAGCTTTTGGGTTGAAAAACCCTTCATCAGGCTAAGAAAGTTTCAGCTGTTGGTGCATGCTCTTTCTGGATGGAATGAAAAGACTTTTCATTAAAAATGTTAGGAAAAAAGTTCCTTAGCTTGATGAAGGGTTTTTGAACACGAAAGCTTGCTTAATAATTGTTTTCCAACTATTTAAGTTGGTCTAATAAAAGATATTAGATTCACCCAAAGAACCTTGTCTGCCTATGTCCTTAGACCAACACAGCTACAACCTACACCCCTGTATTATTGTCTGGTAGTTCATTATTTTATTTGCAGGATTTTATTATCAGAAATGGATGTTTTTAGTACATAACAGTTCTTATTTATGGTTGAAAAGCAGTTCCTGTTGTTAACACAGATTGGTAACTCATTCTGTTGCAACCCTAAACTATTCAGAACTAAGTTCAGAAAAAGCAAAGCTTCCAGAAGCCTGTCAATTTCAACCTGCAAAACAGGAACTTTGTCAAAAGGCAGTAGTATCATGTTGCTGCATCTATATTCTTTTTTTTTTTGGGGGGGGGGGGGGGGGGGGGGGGGGGGGGGGGGGGGGGGGGGGGGGGGGGGGGGGGGGGGGGGGGGGGGGGGGGGGGGGGGGGGGGGGGGGGGGGGGGGGGGGGGGGGGGCTGTTTTATCCTCTATTATATAATCTACAAGAACATTAGCAATTTTAGGTGCATGCTTTTTTAAGTATTAGTTTAGTTACGCTTTTCTAAAATTGTGTGTTGCAAGTTTTCTGTTTGTCTTGCTTGATTACTGCAAAACAGTTAACTTGTCATACAGCATTTCCTTTTTCTCCTGTTGTTTATTTCTTACATTACTACTTTGCTAGCGCTTTTATCTTTCAAAATTTGTGTATTCATTTCATTCCTCTCACTTGTATGAACTATTTGAAGCGTCTTTGCTTCTTTGTCCTCCTTTATTCTTTTTATGTATGCTATTTTTTTCCTACGATGTGCTGGTCTTTACACACACCAATGCAACATGCCTCATTCTGTTCTGTCCCTAATTGTGATTGGTTTTACACCAAGGTACTCTAGGGATCTCCAGTTAATCAGATATGGAGCTTGACACTCCATCATGTATCACTGTTTAGACTTACTTCCTTGTGCAGCTTTGTTGGGACTAATGTTGTTGCCTGTAAACTTTTTTGCATTCTCTTTCCTCATTTCTTGCAAGTTTTGTATTGGGAATTGTTATAGTAAACAGGTTTTGAGACCCACATCTATGACTGTCATCTTTTTGTGCTATAACTTTCTTTGTATTTATTCTATATTTACAATCCTGATTTTAAAATGTAAATGTAAATTAATTTGACCTTTTAAAGTCTGTACTTCTTAATTTTTTTTTCCTTCCAAACAACTGAATATTTTCCTTTTCATAACTGTTGCTCTCTCTTTAAAAAATAAAGATCACAACTGTAACTTGGAGTCCAGCACTTCTAGTGGAAAGAGTGAAACTGTTCAGGCACAACTGTCCAGTTTTTATCCAGAAAGGTAGGAACCTGGAACAATGTTTCTGCCTTATAAATGCCTGTTACATAACATTTGAAGGCAATTGGTAAGAAAGTAGAAGATGTTTTACACTAATTAGATTGAAGTAAGGATAACACACAGCTTCATCTTATCCACACAGCAAATGACTAGTGTCCTCTCCTTGTGCCCATGGTGAACTTTTTTTTCTGTAGAATGACTGTTGTCTATGTTTTGGAATTCTTCGAAACAAACAAACAAACAAACGGCAGCTGTCTTCCATTCTTGTCCTTAAGGCTGTTTTGGCACCTAATTTTTAATTAATTTTGTTACCTTAAAAAGTGAAAATTCCCTTTTTAAAAAAGTAAAGAGAAGTTATCTGCAGCAATGGTCCTTTTTCCCATGTGTTTTTTTGCAGATGTGCTACAGGTTACTATTGTTGCAAATGTATTATAGACTCTATTGTTGTGTGGGAGACATTAAACTCCTAACTGAGACTGAATAGTGTATTACAACAGGGTTAGGTATTTACTTTACAGCAAAGAATCAGGAAATTGGTATGACAGTTCTGACATTTTGCCAGTTCCCGGTTGGCTTTGTCTCAGATTGGAATGTACATTTTGCATGTGTTTTTTCTAAGAGAGGCAGCCTTTGAAGTGATTTTGTTGTATTGGGTCTTCCCAGCAAATAGCTTGTTCTTCTTGTGGGTCAACGTAAAGATCAGTAACATTAATTTTTTTAAAATGTTCTGTTAAGATTTTCTACCTGCCTTTTGAAGTAAATAGTATGTATTGTGGCTTAGTGGGTTTTTTATATTATATTATAATTTGATTTTTTTTTTTTTTTTTTTTAATTGTATGTTGTACTGTATTGGCTTGATTCCGAGACTGGCTTTTTTGTTGTTGTTTGTTTTTTTTTCCCCCTCATTTAACATGGAGTGGTGGTGGGGAAGAAGCCTCTTTGCTTGGAACTGAGTATGAGGCAGTGATGGAGCAGGCAGTTGCTCCTGCTTGGCTCTGGCTCCAACCCTGGTTTGGGGCCAAAGTCACAGCTACTGCCTATTTCCACTGCCACTGCACCTGCTGCTCTTCTCCATTCAGCCTACCCTGTGCTCATGCCCAGGGTCTACAGTGGGGATGGAGTCTGCCAGTGGTGCAGCACTAGTAGGGGGGATGGGTGGGGGTAGGAGAAGGGGGTGCAGGGATCTGAGGCTGTGGGAGTGGCAGGCACAAGGTGAGCAATGGAGCTCTGTTTCCTGCTCCAGCATGGTCTGCCCCCATACTGCCTACCCTCCACTGCCTCCTTTCCCGCTGTCTGCCCTGCTGCTACTGCTTTCCCTGCTGCAGTGGTGGTGATGATGACTTTAAGACAGTTCTCCAGTAATTAGTTTCTGTATGTGGAAAGTTATAACAAATGTGTACATTTTCCCTGTATCAAATCTAATTATTGCAGGGGTTGGCTTTAATTCAGGGTTGTCTTAGATTTGGGTGAATAAGGTGTATTTCTAAGATGTCTTTGTTTTTCAGTTTTAGCAGTCATAAAGAGGGGTATTGTTTGATTCTTAATTGTAATATTTTAGAACAAAAGCCAAGAAACCCAAGTATTCAGAAAGAAGTGATTCGGAAGAATCAGAAGAGTGGCTGCCACAAGAAACAGGAAGTAAGATGCACTTGATTTTGTTCTAATGTAATTTATTTAATTGCTATCATTGCTTTGTTTTTTAAGTATTCAGACACAATCTTTCTTTTCAGTCAAAACTAAAAAGGATCTCCCTACAACCAGGAAAAGAAGTAAAGGTATGGTTCTTGGCTGGAGATAGAGAGATTTTTTTTTTCCCTTATAATTTCTGTTAAAAAGCTATGATATGTTTTATGTACATTAGGCCTGTTTCCTGTGAAGAAATTTGTTATAAATGTTGTAGTGCAAATCCTGTAGGCTTATGCACAGCTCGGTTGAACCAATTCTATGTATAAGGTAAAATTTGCCTATTAGTTGACCCTTGTTAACTGCTTATTAAGAAGAAACTTGCTGAATTAATTTATGAGCAAGCCTAGAGATGGACTGCTTTATCTGTAAGTCGGAGAGTAGGGCAGTTCTCTGGGTGGGGAGGGAGCTCTGCTTTTTTGCTGTCTGCTCCCAACACACAAACACCAGAAGCCAAGGCTCTGTTACTTTACCTCTGGGACTTAAGCTTGACTCTAGCTTAGTGAAGATTATTTTACCTGCTTTCCTGTCACCAGGAGCCTTGCATTTCTTTCTATCCAGTGATCTAGCTTTAGCAGGAGTTCCATGTTAGTCACACTTTATTATATGGGTATCTTGTTAAAATCGCTTAGGAAACCATTTGTTTTGTTAACAAATTTGATGTTACTTATGATATGTCTAATGTTCCATTGTGATCTTCTGGCAGCTTCTTGTAATTTTCAAGAAGATACAGGCTTTGCATCTGCCCTTGCAGCTCCATCTCCTGCATTAAAAAAGAAAGCAAAGCAAAAAGGTAACAAAGAAGTAAATATAAGTATTATGGGCATGTCCAGATGAGCGCGCACATGCCTTTTGCAGTGTCTGAGACCCCTTTGAGGTGCTGCAAGATGCAAGCTGGGAACAAAAAGCTGTTCCCCATGCTACATATTTGCAGCATGGGGGCAAAATTTGATACCTGGATATCCAGATACCAAAAAATGCTGAGGGGGGAGAAAGTAGGGCAGACAGTGCCCTGAGGCAACTGGAGGCTCAGTCTTGCATAGAGACACTCTGGTAGCCAGCTGAGGGTACTGAGGGTGCGGGGGGACTATGGAGGAGGGATGGGGGCCAGCTTGGGAGGCATGGGTCCCTTGCCTGCTCCAGCCCCCCTACTGACCCCCATGACTGGACCCAGCCTCCTGCACCACCCACAGCTTACCAACAGCGGCATTTGGGGCCTCGTGGCACAACCCCCCCCCCCCGTGTGGCATGGGGGGCAGCATGGCTTATCGCAAGCTGCCTGGCACCCATGCTGCCTCTGCAACACTGTAGCTGCGGCTTGGCTCAGCGTGGTGCTGCGTGCTTCTGGGCAGTTATGGGCTGTCACTCGTGGGGACCTGGCCTGGCACCACAGGCGGTCCCCACGAATGGTGTGAGGCCCTGGATGACTGCTCAGAGCTGCCCAAGAGCATGTGGTGACGGGCCACAGCCACATGGTGTGGCAGATGTAGTGTGGGTGCCAGGCAGAGCTGGGCTGGAAGCAAGCGGTGGGGGGGGGAAGGCTGAAGGTGGGGGGGATAAGCTGTGGTCCCTGTTGGTGGAGAGCAGTCTGAGCTGGGGGGGGAGGCTGTGCCCTGTGGGGGGCAGGTGACCCACCCATCCTGAGCAGTTGCCCGTATACCCTCCCACACCCACATTCGCCCCCCACAATCCACCCATAAACCCCTTACCCACAAAGGGACTGGGGCGGGGAGCAAGCTGTGGGTTGAAAGTGAGGGGCAAGGCCAGGGGCAGGGCACTGGCATGTTAGTACTGCTCAGCGCAGCACATCCTGGTCAGTGAAGGGGACGGGCAGCTCTGACTTTTCCATGATTTAAAAAAAAGTTAAAAGTATATGCCAAACTGTATAGATATTTAGAATTTATTTTATTATGGTGACAGAGGCACTGGTAGGCTTCCAAATTGCTTTAAATTGTAAGTATATCAATAAAACACTGCCCAACTGCTTTGCACTCTCTCCTGAACTGATTATCTATCTCTGTAGATATCTCTATCTCTGTATATAAAATCAGTTTTTAAATGGGGAACACCAGAATTCCTGCTAGTGAGGCAGGTGGCAGGACGCAGGCAGAGGAGCCTGCTCAGAGCTGGCACCCAGGACCCACTTGGGGCCAGGAGGACATACTTTGACAGTTCAAAGCCTGCTGCCACACTCGGAACATCTTCCCAGTGATAGCTTCCCAGATGGCTGGGCAGCGGCACACATGGCAGCAGTGCCGTACAAAGGTCAGCTGTGCAGCCACAGCCCACTGGCAGCTGGCTCAGAGGTGCAGATGCTTCTACTGGCCGTGCAGTCCCCATCTGGGTCTGGCAGGCATGCAGCCTTGGGGTCACATGCTGCCACAGGTGGCAGCAGGTCACAGCCAGGCAGTAGGCCCTACTGCCAGACTGCTGCAGTGGGTAGAGGGTACAGGGAACTCTCAGGGCTGCTTCAGCAGTCCATCTGGCACAAGGAGTAGTGTCCCCAGATATCCATTGGCCAGGCCCCAGAAGCTCCTTTGAGCAAGTATCCCTGAACTACTTGCCAGGGCAGCTTTTTGTACTGCTGCGGCTAGCACAAGGCAGCTTTTTATGCTGCGGCTCTAGCACCCCCTGGCTGCAGATCCAGGAAGAGCTGGGCAGGGTTATTTTGCCCCAAGTGGTACAGTTTGCCCCACACCAAAATGCGTGTCTGGGCCCGTATGCTGAGGCAAAAAGCCTCAGCTCAAATTTGTGGCATTTCTATTTGAGCTGCTGCAAGCGCATGTGCCTGCATGTGTGGAGGTGCCCTATGAGTTCATTTCTTTTTGAACTGAAACATTATGTAGAGTTTATCACCTACTGCTTATATTACTGTGAACCTTCAGTTATCTGAAATTGATTAAGGGGTAATTTTTTCATGAAGACCTTTGCACAGGACTTCAGGAAACTGTTTACATTTTTGAGCTGCTTATTTTATAATAATCTTTAAAAAATAAACCATTCTGGTAACCAGTTCTATTGCTAAACGTTACTTTTGTTTTTTCAGGTACTTCTAGCATTCAGTTGGCTAAGAGAGATGATTCTGAAGGAGGACCGAGAACAACACTAATCATATGTCCGCTGTCTGTTTTAAGCAACTGGATTGTAGGTTTTGCATGATGTTGATTCTTTAATATTGGGCAGTTATGGGGTAACATGCAGTAATAGTAACAATACAGAAGTCTTGCTTCAGTAATGGGACTTCTACAAGCAGTTTTTTAAATACTAAAAAATAAATAAGGATGTAATGAATATAATTTGTTCTTTTTGATTGTGTGCCACTTATTTCATGTCCACTTAAAGGTGGTCATTTTAGCACTGATATGGCTAGGTCAGCTCTGGGAGAAACTCGGGTGACTGCCTGCCCTTGTTGCAAAAGTAGGGCTATTATTCATTACAAAAAAACAAAAAAACCCCAAAATGTTATTGGTGTATCACGTCTTTATCTGGAAGTGTTTTGTCAACTGTTGATACAAAACTAAGATAACTAGAATTGAAGAGAGAAGATAGAAATATTTCATTCTTTGTTTGTTTATCTTGTACATCTAAGTAAGACCTCTGGTGAATACTTCAGGGCCAGTCTACCAGTCCTTTGGGAAGTCCAGGGCAGACTCAAGATACATGCAGGTCCTTGACTGGCTGGAGTGGGCCCCAGATGTGGCCTGCGGGTAATCCATGGAACCCCCACTTTCTGGATTCCAGATCCAGTGCCCAATCGGTCTTTGTGTGTTTGTGTGACTTGTACATCTAAGAAGGACCTTTTTAAAGATGCAGCTCATTAGAAGTCTTAGTAAATGTGTTCCCTGGAACTTTGTCATCAATGAATTGGACTTTCTGGGAATAATTTTTTCCTAAGAGAACTTCTATGACAAACTCTTAAATGTAACCATGTATTTCAAATGAACTCTCTCTCTTTATCAAAACAAACACAGGGGACACATTGTTTTTATAATTAATAATTTGTCCCACAATTGTACAGTCATTGATACTTAAATTTTTTTATACAGATCACAACGTTCTGCTGTCTGCAACATAGTAATTGCTAAAAACGCCTCTAATTAATATGTGTAGTTAAAGTGATAATTTAGCACAGGTGCAATAGTAGGAAGTAAATGAAATTGAAATTTACCTCCTACACACTAAACTTTTTCTAGACTTAATTGTTATTGAGATTTAACTTATTGTAGGTATTAACCCTTTTTGTCCACAGTATTTTCCTTGTGCCTGTGAATCAGGAGGCAAAACATATGGAAAGGAAAATTTAAAGTGACAAATGTGGTCTGTCTATCCTACTAGAAGAGGTGCACAAATGATGAAAAACGGATTTTTGAAATCCTTTAATTTTAATAAAATGTAGTAGTGACAGAACAAGAAATGTAACTCAACCTTGTTTTTCAGTTTCTTCTTTTTTTTTTTTTTTTTAAGGACATAAAGCTACAACACATTTCAGAATAAAAGTTAGAAAAGTCTTCCATTTGGCTCCGTACATTGTTGCTTTTGACTGAATGTGGCTTGCCTCTGTTTTGACTTACAGCAAAGGTGTCAAACTCATTTGGTCCTGTGGGCCATGTGAATAGTGCAGGGCCAATCTACCAGTCTTCTGGCTAGTCCAGGGCAGACTATGTACATGCAGGTCCTTGACTGACTGCAGGGGGCCCCAGATCTGGCTTGTGGGGAACTCATGGAGCCCCCATTTTCTGCATTTCAGATCTGGTGCCCACTCTGGCTGGTCCTGGATTGCCACGTGGGGCGCTCCCTAGGACCCATGCTGTGTGCCTCCCTTCCCACGTCAGTCAGAGTGGGTGCCATGTGTAGCTTGCGATGGGAACAGGCTGGAGCAGGCACTGCGGGTGCTGAGTCCAACGTGTGGGTAGGGTTCTGGACTGGCCCCATGCAGGGCCAGCACTGGGGGCGAGATGATGTGGCTGGTTCTGTTGCAGCTACTGTTCTTTACCTCTTCAACTACAGGACATCTAGTTGCATGTTTTTGTTGTGTGGCTCTCCAATATTCTACTATTGGCAGTTTGTAGTTTGCCATAGAGCTGGAATGCCGTTTTTCTTCTAACCCTACCTGAGAGAACACAGAGTAACACAGTATTTAATAACCTTTTGATTGCTTATCTTTCAGGAGCAGCTTGAACAACACATCAGCCCTGAAGTTCACTTAAACGTTTATGTTTATTACGGACCTGACCGCAGCAAAGACCCAGCACTTCTTTCAAGACAAGACATTGTACTGACAACCTACAACATTTTAGCCAGTGATTACGGAGTAAGTGAAGTACAAAAATTATTGGTAAGATGTGGTGGGTCAGGTTGTTTAAATCGGATTCTCTTGTTTCTTCCCCTATTTGTTCTCAATCCTAATAGGCACTGCTCATGCTGCTCACTGAATGAAGAAGGCGTTTTGAGGAAAAAATACCATGTGACTATGCAGTTAAAGATGATTTAGCTGCACTTGTCAAAAATTTTCTAGGCCAGAACACTTTAAGGTGGAATTTCCCAGATGTGTGTGTTTGTTTTTTGGATGCTTGGCATTGCAGCCTAATAGTGTGGACAACTTGGAGCCCTTTCAAATCAAAAGGGCAGCTGCTGTTGTGTTCCAACTGTTATGTGTAAATGACGTGAAAAAACTGAAATGCAGCAGAAGGGCTCTAACTTGAACATTCCTTCATCCGTGTTTAAAGTTGAAGTGGTTTTGTTGCATTTGAATCATTCTCGGCTTGTTCACACACAATTAGAATTTACCAGTTGCTACCCTTTAGAAAAGCTTCCCTTCTGAAAGGGCGGCTTCAAGCATTGCTGTATTCACATCCTTAGTAATGATATTTTCACATAATCCAGGTGTCAAGTTTCCCAAGTTTGTTTGTTTTTTAAAATAGCAAACGGTAAAAATGTTCTGTCCTGTGGTGGCCTGCTGATGTTTACATGGGTCATCAGCAAAGTTGGGATCTCTCTGTCACTGTGCAGCTTCTTGCACAATTGGAATTACTGATAGCAGTAATTGGTTGTCATT